AATGAAGTTCTCTTGGGACTCTGCCTAGTTCCTGCTGAGTTCTAAAAGAGAAAGTGTGGCCTTGAGTCCCTAGGTGGCAGCAGAAAAGATGCACTCAGCTTTGGAATGTGATAGCAACTTCCTTTTGGAACACAGGGCCAGCCTTGCTGTGTTGCTACAGCGTGGCAGGGGGACAGACTGGCCTTGTCTCTGTAATGAGCGAGAGCCACATCTCTCACATTCTTCAGGTTAGGAGTTGAAGCTAATGTTTCACATCAGGAACTGTCTTCCTGCTACGTGGGGAAAACAGTGAGTGTGCTGAGCGGCCTTTACACACTGGTTTGTGAAGGAGCTGGACAGGGAGACAGGATGCCCTGAAAGCACATATGATATTTCCCCATCCTGCGCCCCGTCTTGAGTTTCTGTAGCCCTGGCTAGCCTGGAATGTGCCGAATAGATCAGGCTAGCCTCAAACTCACAAAGATCCCCCTGCCTCCTGCCTCCTCCCAACACATGCTTTCACCTGCCTTTCCCTCCAAAGTCCTGAGACTGAAAGTGTATATTAGTTATTTTTCAGGTGCTGTGACAAAACACTGTGACAAAGGCATCTTATAAAATAACACATTAAATTTGGGGCTCACGGGCCCAGAGGGCGAGAGTCGTCCATGACAGCTCAGTAGTCAAGCATGTCCCAGGCACTCGTAAAGCCCAGGTCTCCATCCACAGCGCCACCAAGAGAATGAAAAGGAAGGCTGTACCCAAGCTTGTTTGGAGGCTTGGCATTCAGTCACAGGAGGACCAAAGGGCTATTTATCTATAGTATCTCCCTGGCTTCTCTCAACTTTGCCATGACCCATGAGCACCTGGGGTGAACATCTCCTATATAACCAGCATCACAGCTCAATGTCAACATAGCATGCCTCTGGATACAGACTCAACATACAACCACTTCCTTTCAGGTAGACAGGAAGGAAGACACTGCATCTCAGGCTCTCTATGTCAGTGATCTAGCGGTCGGTTTAGGGATAAGGTAATCATGACACCACTAGAGAATGCTATCAAAATATAATAATAAAATGCCTTCTAAGATGATTATAATACAGCTGCGGGACAGCTCAATAGCCGAAGTGCTTGCCGTGCAAACGCAAGGACTTGAGTTCAATTCCCTGAACCCATGTGAAAACACTGGGCACTATGGCGCATGCTCATGGAACCAGCAGTGGGGAAGCAGAGCCAGGTGGGTTGCTGGAGCTCACTGGCCAGCCAGACTTATCCAATTGGCAGTCCCCAGACTGGGAAAGCAGTACAGGGACTGGAGAGATGGTTCAGTCAGCTAAGTTCCTGCCATATGTGAGTACTAGGATTCCCAACATGTATGTAGAAAGCTAGGCACACATGTCTGTAACCCTAGCATAGTTGTTGGGGAGTCAGAGTCAGGCCCTAACCCAGAGAGCACACACGGGGTGAAGAGGGGGATATCAGAAGAGAAAAATCTTGTCCTTACACCAACTTCAACTAGAAGTTAATGTCTACTCCCTGACAAATATGACTTCCAGTGACAGTAAGAGTGCCCCACAGTTAACAATGCTGTGACCTCATTTGGCAGCAGCTTTTAGTTTGATGAAATTTTAACCTAGAGAGAAGCTTCAAGAATAGCATATACACTTTTCCTAATCCTCCCTCCTTCCCTCCCTCCTTTCCTCCCCCCTCCCCCCCTCTCTCTCCTCCCCCTCTGATATACCACACTGCACGAGTGTCATAGTCTTAGGAGTAACGAGTGCATAACTCCTGATTCTAGGTTTTCGTGAAATGAAAATAACAAGGCCTCAGATGCTCTTCGTCTCTTTGGACCTCTGTCTCCTCAGCTCCAAGGCAGAATTATATCTGAATGCCAAGTGCCACGAAGGTCCCCTTATGTTGTCACTGATAATAGTGGCATGAGCACCGCAAGTCCGTAGCTGGCAGAGGGGGAGCTTTGGAACTCAGCAGAGAATCGGTAGAAGAAATCAGAGACAGGAGCGGCGGTGGCGGGTCCTCAGAATGGTGAGACACCCTCTTGCAGAGCAGACATCTCTGAGGAGGCTACAGGAACAGCTCTCTCCACTCAAGCAGGAAGTGGGGAGACACGAAGCCTGTCTGCCTGTGAGTTCTAAATGCTAGCATGCTGCACGGCAGACCTCATTAGCATCTAGTTGGGTAGAAAGTCTGGGGAAAGTCTCAAGTAGGGAAACAGGTTCTTGAAATTCCATTTCACTCCCAACTCACAGGGCCACAACGATGACAGGGCCCCACAGAGGGAAGGGACATCTTAGAAACATTGTAAGGGTTTTAATGCTAACTTTAAAAGGTTAGGAACCGGAATCTTCTCTGTTCTGCAGAGGCATTTAGCTATAAAGCAATTTTTTACAAACGTTCAGAATATCTCTTGGCCTTCAGCCTGAGAAAGACAAACTATTTGCCTGTTTGTTCTTTTAATTTGCTTGGCAAACCTTTGCCCTACACCAGCCCTAATAAGTCAATGCACTTCACCAGCATATTAAGTGTAGTCCAGAGTTTCAATCAGTGACTGTCTCTCTGGTGAGGCCAGCTAGGTCATATAGTTCTTTCCTTAAGATTCTCAATAACTACCCTCTGGCTCCCAGGCTGTGCACCTGCCAGCCCAGCCTCTACCTCCTCTCATTTTCTTAAAAGCCGGAACTTGGTTTCATTTTTCACTCTTGATTTTAAAGCAGTTGAATAAAGCCGTTGGAAAGCATGAAAGAGAAAGGGGCCAGCAAGAGAGGTAAATAAATCTAATCACAGTGAAAAGGCGATGAAAGACCTGTGCCCACGTTTCCTCAATTTGTTCTCCAAATGATCCTTGACACGCTCGTTGCCTGAGGACCAGCTCCCGATTTTCATAGGAGACGGGAACAAAAGATCCAGTTCTTTTCGAACACAAATTGGAGCCATTAGTTCCCACCTTTTCCTCTTTGCATTTCCAGGGACGTTAATAAGTAGCTAAATTGACTTGTTTGAATTCTACTCCCGCCCCTTCTCTCGCCCACCCTCTAAGACGAGTGTGGTTGGGCGGTTCGTTAGTTAGGAGGAATGACACTAAGAAAGTCCTTGGGAAATGGCCACCCGCCACTTACGGCACATGCACATGTCTAGTAAACTGAACAACTCAACAGTGTCTGAAAGGGGGCGGGGGGGAGAAAGCTGGAAGTGGGCAGCATGCCAGGTGTCCTGAGCACCATGCCCTTGGCAACACCACACTCCATACGTGTACTCTGGGCGTCTGTGAGAGCACGCAACTGCCAACACTCTCCCTGATGGTTTTCTCTGGGGTGACGGATAGGAAGGTCTGGAGCGCTGGAGGGGTAACTGCCCTTGAGTGGCAAGCAGTCGGCCCCTATCAACCCAGGCTTGAGCTGCAGTTGGCACGTAACCAATGCCGCCGGCTGGAGAGTAAACCTTCAGCCTTCTATCCCACAGGGTGCAACCCTCTACACGCCTGTTCGGCACTGTGTCCCAAAGTCATGCCTTGCAGATGAGTCACTGGCCATTTGCTACCTTAGCAAGGGCTCTGGGTAGCAATCAGCCTTGGGAGAAAGAGAAATGTCTCCCCCTGGAGGAAGCACAAGTGTGCTCACTGACCCATTGATTGTCTGGGCCAGATTCAGGCCCACTGAAACCATGTCTTGTGGAAAAGAGAATGAAGCCATGGGTTCTCAAGTTCCTCACTGCTTTTTAGTCATAAAGTCTTTCCTCCTTGTTGTCATGGTTTTACATCCTCCACCAGCATCTTAGACACCAGGGAATACCATTCAGTCAGTCTTGCAAGTGTGGCAGAGGTCTCATACCAGAATTGAATTTCTCAGTCAAAATTAGAATAATCACATCCTAATGAAATTTACCTTAAGACTTTACTTCGCTCTATGAACCAAAAGAGGACACGGTTAAAACAGAATGTTTTAAGGAATGACACTCCAAGGACTTGGGGGCTACAGCAATGGAAACTAAACCACCCAAATACTCAGCAGTTGGCACATACGTCAGAGGCCCTATGGCTAACACACGGTCTCCCTGTCTCCAGCAGTAAAGTTGCCTTAAAATTCAGGGTGTTACAAGTCCCTTCTCCTAAAAGACTGTGTGTGTGTGTGTGTGTGTGTGTGTGTGTGTGTGTGTGTGTGTAGATAGATAGATAGATACATAGGTACATAGATAGATACTACATACATACATACATACATACATACATACATAGATACATAGACAGACAGACAAATAGGCTGTATGTGGTAACAGCTCCACATAATTCCAACTTTTGTTTGTCTCTTATGAGACATTTGCTTACTTTATATCCTTGCTTATTGTACCATAAGCGGGTCCATCATGCTGAGTGTACATATTAACATTACAAATGGGGGAGACGTATAATTGATGAGGAGAAGGTAAAGTTCTTAGGACATGATCTCTTCTGAGTTGAAAAGGAAGTGCAGGGACACAGCTGGCAATGGGCCTGGCAATATGGCAGAGGTCCGAAGGGTTTACTTGTGGACACGTGGGTGCGACAACCCCATGGACATGACAGAAGTGGAGGCTCTGAGGACCTCGCCATCGGCAGCCAGCACGGACCCGATTGTTCAGAAGGAGACACTCGGCTGCTATAGCCAAGCAGCTCTAGCTTCACGTCTCTTACACAGCAAGCAAATAGTTCAGCTAAGTTCTCTCTGTGCTGTCTGTAGAAGCCGAGGCTGGGCTTGCTGTCCCTGCCTCGAGAGCTTCCACTGAGATTTCCCAGGTCGCATGCCACATCCACAGGTGAACATAAGAAAGCCTGGAGGAGGTGGTGACCTGGCAGAATCATCCTCGCTTCAAGGAAGAAACCGATGAGACCCAGAGTCTAGAGGCTAATTTCCCTGAGACCCAGAGTCTGGAGGCTAATTTCCCCGGTTTCCTACACTCCTCAGATTAATCTCAGAATGACACCAAAAGGCCAAGGTAAGAAATGCAAGCAGTGAAAGCAAGTCCACTCATTGTTTAAAGGGAATTTTAATGTTACAAATTAACATGGTCATGCAAGGGACAGAAACAGTGTCCAAAACAAGCACTTCCATCTATCATCATTTGGTTTGCTTGTCTGAGTCGCTTCTGTGTCACGTAGAAATGAATGAACCATCTCTTCTAAAAATAGGGCACTCCTGGCCTGGCCTCGGACACTGATTTGGTCACCTGTTTGGAGGAGAGCAAACATCTTCACACACACAGTCACTTATTGAAGGCCTGAACACCGAGGCCTTGTGTTGGACTCTGGCAACTCAGAGGGCTGTGACTCAAGCTGGTGTCTTGAGGGATTCTATTATGATACAGACTTTTTTTTCCAAGATAAAAAATAAAATTAGTATTTGACTTTGTGTTTTTCCACAGACTTTGATGATTGAGTTTCCCCCGGATTCTCTGTAAAAACAGAAACCCAGGTGGGAAATAAGATGTGGTTTTATTCACCATTGTTAACTATGGATTCTAACCATGGCAGGATCCTCAGGGTTTCCTCCCTGCGGCCACAAACAGCAGAGAGTTCACAGCCTCTGATTGCCTCGCTTTTATTTTAGGGTCTTCACTGGTTTCTTTAGTTCTCTCAGCGGAACAAGGAGATGGTCTGGGAACTGCTATTTGATTGGACCTAAAGAGGTTTAAGGCCAAGTCCAAGCATACCTCAAGGTTAGCAAACAGGCAGAGATACAGGTTCCTTTGGCCCAGCCTCAATCCCAAGGATTGAAATGAAAAGAAAAGCCTCCCTAAGCCGCCCCCTCTACCGGAGTGTCTGAAGCTAGACTGTGGAGAGCTATATGAAGTCACATAGGCGTACTCCCCACAGTGTGCATGTTTATACCAAGCATCCTAGGGAAAACTCCTCACTTCAGTTTATAAATTGTATATAACCCATAAACTAGACAAGGACACTAGGAAAAACTATTCCAGGTCAATCTATATGTAGATTAATTATAAACGCAAAAATCTTAGGTAAAATATTGGTGATGACTAGAAAATCAGTACAAGGTGTCATTGTATGAGTCTCTCAGGAATACAAGAGCAGATAAACATTATGAAATAACATTCGCAGATTACTGTATGAGAAAAAAGAACCATAGGGAATGTTCTGTAGAAAACTGAGGAGTGAACTACAAATGTGAAACTTGATACTTGGAAGCATGACAAAAAATCATGAAAAATTTAGAGGTGTAGTGTGTGGTGATGTCTCGTTTGTACAAATAAAGACTGTCTGAAGATCAGAGGGTGGAGCTTGCCACTAACTAACCATAGAGGTCTGGAGGTCTGTACAGACAGACAGGAAGTGAGATGGGTGGGCGTAGAGGATATGGGGGAGGAAATAGAAACTCTGCTGTGTTTTCCAATGGGAAGCTAATGAGGTAGAGATTAGGTCTCTCTGCTCTCTCCACATTTTTCCATATGTCTGACCCCAGGCTTTTATTATTAAGACCTATTAGAACTCATGTTACAGGTAGAGAAGTCTTTAATATGGTGTTGTAGTTTGGGTTTCTATTTCTGTGAAGAGACACCATGACCAAAGCAATTATTGGAAAGAAAACATTTAATTAGGATGGTTCACTTACAGTTTCAGAGGTTCAGCCCACTACCATGGTGGGGAGCATGGCTACATGCAGGCAGACATGATGCTGGTTACATCTCGGCTGGCAGGAACAGGAAGTCGACTAAGACACTGGGCAGTATCCTGAGCATAGGAAACCTCAAAGCCCACCCCCATAGTGACACACTTCCTCCAACAAGGCTACACCCAATCAAACAAAGCCATACCTCCTAAGAGTGGCACTCCCTATGAGATTATGGGGGCCAATTACATTCAAACTACCATATAGGGTAAGAGGACTTTATTCAAGTCATGACTAATGATTGGAAGTCAATAGTGTCACCTAAAAGGGAAAATCATAAGCCAGAGACATGACAAACTTCTGCTCAGCAGAGTACCTCGCCCACACAATAAGGCATGAAAAACTAAGAACTAACCAACCGCTGGAAGGGATGAAATAAAAGTTACATAGAGAACTCCAGAAAATTCACAAGTTGTTAGAGTGAAGAAATAGTCGTGAAAACGTAGGGTTGGTGGATGGGTTACCAACCTGCACACGTGCATTTCATGTGCAACACAAGAGCTGATACAAAGTTGCAAGGGAAAGGCATATTGTTCTAAAGAGGACTGCTCATCTCAGTGAACACCTTTGCTTCTAGACAGTTACAATGACAGCTCCCAGATGTGGTTAAAGTCAAATGTTAACATTTATAGAAGGAAGTTAGAGAACAATTCCTTCACAGCTTAAAGTCATTTCCAAGCCAAGGCAGACAACAGGCAACCGGTAAAGAGTAGTATTTCCTGTTTGTCTGTCCGTTTTTAACTACACTCAACTCTGGGGGTGACACCTTAAACAAGCACAGAATTCACATCGAGGAAGTGAGCACCGTAAATCACCTCAGAGGGACTTTGCTTTAGGTGGAGTCAGTTGCCCATGGGTCTGGTGACCATCATTCAACCATGTGAACTTGGGGAAGACCCATTGTCCTTTGTTACGATATCAGGTACTCATACAAAAGGGCACACATAAATCTGTCTATCTTCTAGGAATGCAAGGAGGAATTAACATGAGAAAACCAAACAATATAATTCACAAGTTAAAGGTGAGAGCATATGACCATTCAGAGTCAGAAAAATTATTAAATTCATTTAACAATTAAAGAATTAAACTAACAAACTCAGGCTAGAAAGGAACCTTCTTAACCTCTAAGGAAAGTCAAGAGCCAATAGTGTACTTTGGCAAAATTGAAAGGGCTCCTTGGGTTCAGACATGAATGGTTTCAACCTTTTTTTTCAATTTCTATCTACTTTTGGTGGGCCTTGTAGGAAATGCAAGAAAAATTACTTAAATGACTAAAAGGAGTCACAAGAGAAGCAGACTTCCATTATGCATAGAAGATGACTGTAGCAGGTCCCTGAGTGAGTGTGGGCTGTGACCTTCTTTTGACATTCTTGTGACGTCAGTCTCAAGTCTATAGTAGTATCATGAACTTTAAAAACTACTCTAAAGAGTAGTGTATGAACTAATCTTGCCCTTAAATTTTATTTCATTTTTATTTGCTTATTTTGTGCACACACACACACTATATGTGTGTAATATATACGGGCATGTGTGTGCCATGGTGTGTATGTGGATGGCAGAGGACGGCTTACGGGCGTCAGGGAGCTCTGGGGATCAAACTCAGGTAAGCAGGCTTGGCTGCCAACCCAATGCCCTTAGCCATGTTTCCTGTCTTCCATATCTTGTTACATTGATATCTTTGCAGAACTCCAAGGGACTGCCATCAGCTCCCCATGGGCACGTCCTTGGAACACAGGTGCCAGGCTCTTCAGCCTGCACCCAAGCTCATTGGGGATGGACTCAGTGAGAGACAACACCCACAGGTCCGCTGACATTAGTCAACTAGCAAAGTAATGAATGCATCCTACCCCCCGCTCCACCCGCTTGTCATGAGTCACCGTCCCGTCCCTCAGAGACCACGCTGAAGAACCTGGCCACAGTTCACCCTTCCCGCCTCCGCCTCCTGGTCACTGTGTGTTTGCCTCCCCACAGCGTGGCAGGCCTCCTTTGTGTGGTAGCTAAGAACCCATCTGTTTTCTATCCGTCCTCTCTGGATCTGCAGGCCTCACCACCCCTATGTAATAGCAAACATGTTCGAAACCAATGCTAGGATCAGAGGTATTTATGTAACTTACTGGGAAATTCTACAAATAACCAGAATATTCTCTGTGTGAGGAGACTTTTTTAACATTGTATTTTTAAAGAGTTTCTAAACTCATTTGTGTTTCCTGTTTCTTGTTGGGATGGTGTCAAGCTGCCTTCCTCAGCTTTAACACGTGGTCAAGCCACATCTTATCATGTCTTACCCTTTCTCTGTAGGACACAACCACGCCCAGTCTTTTCTGCTGACATCATTGGTGCCTATTGGACCAGAGCACATTTGCCCTGGGTTTGGAATGTTCTTGCACAGAACATTGCTGTTCCTTCATCATCATCATCATCATCCCAAACGGGCCTTCTCTGCCACTTGGTCTAAAGTCAATCCCTCCTCCCCCTCTTTCTTTCTTCCTTCCTTCTTTCCTGCCTTCCTTCCTTCCTTCCTCCCTTCCTCCCTCCCTTCCTTCCTTCCTGTCTTACATCACTGTTTTCTTGTATTCCATCTATTATGCCACTGGTACTTTTTGCAATCTGGGATCGTATTTCTCCGTTATTTTTGTGTTTTGTTTACTGGCTTCTGGCAAGATGGGTTTCTAGGGCTTGAACCTTGCATGTGCTAGGTTAAGCGCCCCCCCCCACAGAATTTCACCCTGCACAGTGCTTTAGTCTCTTGTGAGCTGCTTCTGAATGAGCCAGAATCCCCAGCTTTCACAACCTTAGCTTAGTACTTGGTACACAGTGGTATTGATATAATATTTGAATGAAGAATTAATAAAAGGAAAGTTGTCACAGGTAGAAGGCAGTGAGATGACCATGGACTGCAGAGTCCGTGCTGTTAGGGCGTGGTGAAGGAGAGCTGAAGGTCTGTCTGTGCAGTAGGCAGGTCATACAGGTATATGCACAAAAATCCCCAAGCCCCTTTACTGCTAAAGCCTTTGAGTTAAGTAAGACTACCTACCTGGAGGCCTGGAAACTCATTTGCCACTTCCCAACACACAGTGATCAGAACTAAGCAATTTAAGTCACCAACTGGAAATAGTATTAACAAATGATTAGATATAGGGAAACACAAAATGGACTTATTCTTTCTAAGGGTGGGAGACATCTTCAAAATTCTATTGTAAGATAAATATCACTGTGCATCAATTTTCCCGTTATATGAATCCTGGCATCACTTAAAAAGTGCCCACCTTGGCAATTTTACAACAGGAAATGGAAAGAGGTTAGGTTTTACCTTGATTCGGGTGTCATTTGATATATACACACAGGAAATTAGGCCACTGAAATAACTTTTCCCCCAATCAAGAAGCTTACAGCCCAGAAGAAGATGCTTCGATCGTCTCATCCATGGCTCTCCTCGTGTTAGCTGTGCTTTTCTTCATAGTCATTCTCAAACCTGCTCTGTGTCGGTCACTCAGAACTGCAGAAGGGGGAAAGTGTGAGTAGTCCCCGAGTTCACTTTTCTTCCTAATATTCTAAGAGCAATGAACTTGAGCTGTAAGAGCCATGGGTGACAGTGACCACGAAGAAACTGTCTTTTCCAGATGCAGGAGAGCATTGCATGTAAGAATTCGTAGCAACTGACACCTGTATAGACACACGCCAGACAAGGTCCCGGCATAGAGAATGGAGGTGGGGGCAAAGCCCAGCCCCTAAGGGAAACCAATAGCTACTGAGAAGGAAGGGCTAGTTTTCTTAAGGAGTTCAGCCCTGACGGGTTGACGACACTCTACTGAAAGGCCACGTGCCCAAGAGTACATGGGCAGAAAAATTAGACTTGATGGATTTTTTTAAGCTGGGCAGGTAGGAAAGAGAGTTGAAGCTCTGAGAAGTTGAGGCTGGGAACAAATGTGATCAAAATGCACTGTAGGAAACTCTCAAAGAACTGACGAGAATGAGAAAACAGATGTCATCTACTAGCATCTGGTACCTTACATTCTTGCTGTGGCATCGAGGTGGGGGAGGGTCTGCTTTCCATTTGCTGGGTAGCTGTTTCTTCCAAGAGGAAACCTTTCGTCCTCAAGCAAAGAAGCTAAAGAAACTCAGACAGGGCAGGAGGCCCAGAGAGATCCAAGGCTCCTGAGCCCCCCCTGGGAACTATATAAACAAAGAGGAATTATTGAGGGAGAGGAGACTCCTCCAAGGTAGCTGCCTATAGCTTATGCATGGGGCTCCTGGGATACAGGCTCCTAAGTCCTTACCCCGATGGGTGTGTCTTTTCAGCAATGTGACTACATGGATCACCCACACTCCTGTAAATGACAGCCATGCTCTCAAGCCTAGAGTTGAGTGCATTTGTTTCTTTGATCTCTTATGAATGCCCTATCCATGGTGAGCAGACATTTGTAATACAGCACTAGTTACAATTCTGTCTTTACCCACACATACACTTGGGGAAGAGTATAGAAGCAGCTTGCCTGTGTCTTTCCTGGCATATCACGTGGAAAGTCTCTAACCCCCAAATCCTAAACTCAAAATGTGATAAAAATCTAAAACTTTCTGAGCGCTGACATGGCACTGGAAGTAGAAATTCCATATCTGTGACACAGTAAGTAGAAAATTCCATATCTGATGTTATTATGACAGGTCATAGAACAGAGGCACACTGGGAAATGTTTTATAAAATGATCACATGTGTAAGGTGGAAATATATATATATATATATATATATATATTCCCTGCATCTCATCTCTAAAATTACCCATCTCTCTGTATGTATATATGATATACATATGAGACTTCCATGTATCTCATCTCTAAAAATCCCCCCTCTCTCTGTAGATACATATATATATATATATGTATATATGTGTGTGTATATGTATGTATGTTTGTATATATAGGTAGTATGAGTATGAATAGATAGATACACACACATACATATAACACACGAACAAATGATATTCTAAGACCCAGTCACTCTGAGCCCAGACTCTTTGGCTAAGGAACATTGGATCTATACTCTAAGTCACTAAGGTGTCAGGGTAGTGCCATAACCAGGTGTGGCAGTGCACCCCTGTTCTCCCAGGACTTGGGGCATCAAGACATCAGGAGAATAAGAGGGAACGATACCAAGTCTAGCCCAAGCTGTATAGCAAGACAGCTTCAGAAATCAAGAAACGGAATCGAGTCACAGCATTTTAACACTCACCTTTCTCCACAGTGCTCTCCACAATGAAAGAAGTGGGCCATGAGATTCTAACCTGCGTTCCAAAGGGGACCTATGGCTCAGGAGATGCTTGAAAACACACGTGAACTGTTTTTAAAGAGAGGAAAAGTTTAAATCCGACGTGTGCAAGGCACTGAACTGATTTGCTTACGAATACCTGCAGTAGAGAAGTGCTTCCAGGCAAAGCTCATACATTTAATATGCCCAGCAATGAATCACAACCACTCACCCCGCGTTTTCCTACTGAAATCATCCCACTCCACATTAATTTTTCTGACTGGGACTTCAGGCCAAGATTAAGCAGATAATTTTTCAAACAGTCGCCCAGTCACTTTTTCTGCTAATGGACAACGCTGAGGAGGTGGGTGAGTGCCCATGAGCAGAGACAAAACAGCCTTCTGTACCAGACTGCAGAGAAAACACTGCTGTTGGGGTGGGCTCTGTTGTTCTAGCCAGTGTATCACATAGAAGCTGGGGCTTTTCTTGCTCAAAGAAGTTACAAAATACACAGCTTAAATGAGAACAATCTGAAAGTCATACGATACCAATTTTGAGAATTAAGTTGTAACTGAAGACATTGTGGCCCATTATCTACCCAGTGGGTTAATCTTGGTCATTAAATTGATTGGATTAAGAGCCACCCAGGAGATACACTTCTGGGGGTGCGTGTGGGGGTGTTCCCAGAGAGGGATAGGTGAGGATGGAAAACTCCCCCCTGAACACAGAGGGGCGCCATCACACGGGCTGGGGGGCTCTGATTTAATAAAGAGAAAAGACAGTCAGAGGAGCACCCTTACTCCCTGCTCTGGGTGTCTCGGCCGGCTGCGATGTGAGGACCCCACCCCCACCCCACACTCCTGCTGCCACAGGCTCCCCACACCTCCCCCCTCAACAGACTGCACACCCCCAGACTGGAGCCAGGATAAATGCCCCCATTTGGAAGGTGCCCCTTGCCAAGTCTTTGGCCACAAAACCAGAAAAGTGACAGAAGCATTCTTCTAGAACACTCACTCGCCATGCACTGGGTTTGGATAATGGGCCTCCTGTGAAAATCAGAAGATGTCACCCCAAACAGCACATGAGAAGGCCCAGTCTCCTCCCAGGATGGTAGTCCTAGCTCTGATTTTAGAGGCACTCTCCAGTACAGCCAAACACGGCTAACGCATTACTTTCTATGTGTTTCCTACCAGACAGACTTAAAAACACTTGTGGGCTTTTCCATGGAGAAAAAAAAAAACATTATGGTGGCATTGCTGGATATTTCCAGATTCTGCTCATAAGAAAGTGCCACTGAACACGATTCACTCAATATTTGCCTCCTATGTATCTCACACTGGCTTTCCGAATTGTTTCCTGACTCGTGCGAAGAGCATGGGAATGCAGCTTGCAGGGGAAGCAAGTAAATATTTATATCCTGAGCCCTGATTTATTCCAAACACACCGTTCTCACATGTTTTACAGAGAAAGTGATTACACATCCAGTTATCTTGAAATAATTAAAAGGTCATCAATTTCCTGTCATGGATGTGATATAGTTTAATTACATTCTATGAATATATTGACCAGACCATCAGGGGACACAGCTGTGGGGAGAGGTTATTATCTTAACAACAAACTGACATCTATTGAGTGGGGTGTAGGTATGTAAGTGGCTAGGGGACCTCGGAACTGACCTCCCAGACCCAACCACAGAGCTGGCTTGAGCCGGAGGGTCTAATGGTTCTCACATCCTGAGCAGAAACCTGTCTTCCCAGTGAGATATTTATGCTGAGACATGTAAATTTATTTATATTAATTTGAAATGTTTCCTCTAAAAAACTTTGACGCTATTGAAATTGTACAATTAAGACCATAAACAAAACAGCACGATTAAACAGACTTCCAAGGAGACCCTGTCTGCCGTTCGTCCTGAGCTATTTTTAAAAAGTAAAAGGAGATGATTTTACCACCATCTGAGTGTGTGAAAAAAATGTCACACAGTAGATGAGACAGAAAAATCTGACCAGCTACTGTAGTCTAGGACTTCCCATCCGTGAAGCCATTTTTTCTCAATCCACCCGCCGGCTGTTTACAAGACAGGGGTGGGTTTGATTCCTCAGACTGGCATGCCCCTCCCTGGAAGAAGAAAACTACCGTCTTCCCCACTGGTCGCATCAGACAGCATGCTCCTCTGTTCACAGCCAATCAGGGCCTGACCAGCTGGCCAGCTTGCCCCTGTCCTGCCCCATGTAGAGCCCGCTTTTCAAACTCCCCCTAGGCTGCACTTTATTCCACCCTGAGAACATCACGGAGAATTTAACGGAAGCCTGCCCAGTACCTGGTTAGCTCCCCCTGCTGTACTCCCGTTCAGAATGTCCAGGTACAGCCATTTCTATTGAGTGGTGGCCTACAGCAGTGCCCAGAGTACAGCTGGTCAGTCTTAGTGTGCAGTTCCTAACTCGTTAACAGTTGGTACCAATGCTTTTCTTGTTTCTGCTCTTGTTTTGTTTGTGGATTTTGTCACCCCTCTTCCCACCATGAATGTGTGCTGAGATCTGCTGGGTTGATGTGATTCCTCTACAAAACCGGACTGAAAAATTCCTCCCGTCTGAACCTTCTCTGGTACACACTCCCTGAAGGCTCCACCTCCCACCCTGTCTCAACCTAGGCAACAGTATTGCTCTTCCTAACTCCACTCACTCCTCAGCATTCTAAAAGAGCCCCCCCCTCAGATAAGCATGTGTTAGCCTTATCCAGCTCCAGCCTGTCTCTGAGAGAGCAGCCTCCTTGGATGAGAAGTCAAATTCCTACTTCCTGACTCTGAGGAAACTACTCAGCATCTCTGCTGGGAGAATAAATAATGCACAATTTAGTAAGTCTTCCAGCGACCAGGCAGCATGCATGACAGGCCTAGTGCAGCCTGGCAATGCATCTGCAAACTGCAGTGTCCCTGGCAATGCATCTGCAAACGGCAGTGTCCCTGCACCTCTACTCAATGTTACTTTCACCTAGAGCCCCCCACAGAGGGTGTCTGCTTCTGATCAGCATGCTGAGGGACCCCAGCCTGCACTGAGTTGGCATGTCCCGATGAGTAATCCCTAGGTCCAAAAGTCCACACATACACAGGTAGGCATTGGTGTGTGGTGTGGTTCTTTTCATGTGTTATATATTCCTCCTGGCCTATCTGATCTCCTGTGATCTCCAGCAGATTTGCAGGCCCAGATCTTCAAGAACTGAATGCAAATATGTAAGTACATAGAAACAAGATTTCCCACAAACAACCATGATCAAAGGCAGTGAGTGGGTGAGCACAGTAGGTGAGCACTTAAGCTGAAGGAACACAGCAGGTGATCCATGGAGCTGAAGGAGCACAGCGGGTGAGCACTGGAGCTCAGGGAGCACAGGGAGCACAGGGAGCATAGGGGAGGCCTGCAGAAGCGGGAGCTAGGGTACAGCCTTTCAGACAAGAAGAGTGTGTGCGCTGAAAGATTTGCTCCGTCTTAACAATCTGAAAACGACTGAACTTCAAATGTGGTGTTTAAAAGTCAGTCACCGACGCTCTTCCCAGTGCTCACCAGAGCAAGGCAGTCTTGGGGGTGGTGGTAAAACAGAGATAATCTACACCTGCCTGTCAACAATGCATGCTACAAATTGATAAGTAAAGCACTAGAATTCTGAAACAAAGTTAAACCGAAAACCAGCAGATCAAACTAAATCAAGAAGTGAACTAAATACACACATACACATACATACATATATATATGGCCGGGGTTCCTTTAATGTATGTAAAAGAAACATATTATATTATTTATTCTTTAAGAAATATTTTAAATGAATGAGCAAAGGCTAGCTAACCTGGGAAAATTGTATACTTTATGTACATATATAACTTTTATGCATCTATTTAATATGTAAATTATTTTTACAAAGTTATTTTTTGTCATAGTTGTGGCCAAACACCTAGAAGACCCAATTTAAAGGAAGAAGACTTGGTTCTGTCTCTGGTTTAAGGGTCACAGAGCACAAAGGGCATCACGGCTGCGGGTGGCTCTGTTCCCATGGAAACATCACCCATCCCACAGCTGCTCCCACTCATCTTGGAGAAACAGAAAACAGAGACAGGTTGGCTCAGATAGAAGCCTCCAGCCCCGACCCTACAGCCCTGATGACTCCTCTAGCTAGCCTCAGAAGGGCTGGAGAGATGACTCAGCAGTAAAGAGCACTGGCTGCTCTTCCAGAGGTCCTGAGTTCAATTCCCAGCAACCACATGGTGGCTCACAACCATCCGTAATGAGATCTGGTGCCGCCTTCTGGCATGTAGACATACTGTATACATAATAAATGAATCTAAAAAAAGTCCACAGTCACTTATATCTTTGACACCAACTGGGGACCAAGTGCTGAAATACTTGAGTTTGAGGGGACACACTTTAGACTCAAGTCACATCATTCACTTACTTGGATTCTCACTAAAAGCATTCACCAAAATAAATCCTAAAAGATTTTAAAAATTAAACATAAGTATTAATACATAAGAAATCAAGAATAAAATTGAATAAGTATTTATAATCCTTGGAGTAGATACAACTTACCACTTAGAATAAAAGCATTAACCTATTTGTTAAAAATTTAAGTTCTTGTCCATTCAATATAGATACAGAGAAGAAAAACAAAGAGCAGCTGTCCTGTTTGGGGGAAACATGTCATGGGAAATATCACATTGACAAAGTAATAAATACCCCTTGGTATGAAGAAATCCATCATGGTTCACGCTAACATGTTAAAGCCCCATAGATAAACTGGTGAAGAATGTGTATAGGCCACCTGACATGGAAACACGGCCAATCAACCAATGTGTGGGAAATGCTTTCCTCCACTAGTAATCAAAGAATGGCACAGGCAGCTTTCATGGAGCAGCATTTGACCCCTATAAAATTAACAAGTTGGTTTTTTTTAATGGTATCGCCTGATGACAAAGAATCCTGAAAGGGTGTGCTCCAATACTGCTGCCATTCTGGAACAATCCCTTTGGGAAGCAATTTGACAAAAAGCCTCAAAGTGCTTATTCTCAATAATTCCTCTGATTGAGGAAGGAAGCCTAAGAAAATAATCCTG